AATATAATTTAATTTACCCTTATTACTCCAAGCAATAGCATTTTTAGGATTAATGGAAATTGTTTTGTCGTAGCATTCAATTGCTTCTTAATATTTATAGAAATTATCTAGATAATAAAAATTCTATGAAATAATTTAAAAAAATTAATAACCTTTGTTATTCGACGCATCATCATTTTTGGGATTAATGGAAATTGCCTAGTCGTAGCATTCAACGGCTTATTTATATTTATACAAATTATCTAATGCCACTCTTAATTTATAATTCATTTTGTTATACCTTGATTTAATAATCTTTCAGCCTCTTTAATATTATATTCATTTTTATCTTCGCTCTTATAATTATATTCTTATATTTTTATTAGATCTAAATCGCCTGATATTATGTAATCACCATTTTTAGTTAATTCTATAACCATAGTTTTAATAGTATTAAGAATATTATTTAATTATATTATTTGTTTTTCTATTATAATTATTCAATATATACATATTTAATTTTCTTTTTCCTTTGAGTAAAAACTTTTAATTATTTTGATTTATGTCTTAAAATTCAAATACTCTTTGTTTTAAAGTTATTGTTTCATCTTATCTAATATTGTAATATCTTGTTCCATTATTTTAAAAATCTATTCAAAATAACACTAAAGTGATTTCGATATTTCTTTGTATTATTTACTTTATTGATTCTAAACTTGTATTAATTCATTAATATATTCGTTCAATTTAGAGAATCGAATACAATCATTCAAATAAAATGATCTGAATGAGTTGTAGTTAAACATTCATAACAATATTATGTTGCTTTTTAACAATTCTGATTCAAGCAAAATCCTATTATTTCTTTATTTTCATGATTTAGATATTTACACTTATATAATTTTATTGAATCTTAAAAAATAAAAATAAAAATTAATTAATCTTTTTATACATAAATATCAATAATTTATAATACAAATCACAATATATTTTAAATCAACCAATTTAGAAGTTTCTATTATTTTCCAGTTTACTTTCTGGATTATCGTCAAATTAATTAGATCAATTATTTATTATAAATGACTTATATATTTGCATTATTGATTAATCTTTATCTATATATATATAAATT